TGTCCCTGTTCTAGCTAGAGTTACTTGAGGGACCATTAGCCTCTAGATAGGAAATAACAAGTGGCAAACAAAATTCTCACAGCATCCCAGACTACCTATGAATGCTCCTAGGCCCATGGACACACAGCAGCCTTCTCTCCCTAGTGCCTCTTTCCCATTGTGTTTTGTGCCCATCAACTCTACTGTCCAATTGCAGCACGCCAGATCAGCCCATCTTTTGGGGCCCAGTAAGCAGTCATGTGACACTCTTCGCTAAGTGTAGCTGTGTGACTAAATGAAGGAGATGAAGAGAATCACAGACACTGGAAATAGCCAAGGTCCTCTGTAAAGCCAGCTCCTCCCCTTCCTGTCTGTACGAGTTAGCTAGTATGCTCTAACAAAGTATCACACAGTGGGTGACTGACACTGAAAAAACGGCATTCCCTCACAATTCCAAAGGTGGGGGCCATAAGATAGAAATGTCAGTGGGCTTGAGTCCTTCTGAAAGCTTTAAAAGAAGGACTTGATAAAGATCTATCTCCCTCTGTCTTAGATATGGCCATCTTCATGTTCATGTGTCATTCCCAATCCCTCCCTCCCTCCTGCCCCCACCCCTCATATCTTTCTTTCAACTCCCGCTTTTATAAGGACACCAGTGATGTTGTACTAGAGCCAATCCTAATGACCTCATTTTAACTTGACCACCTCTGCAAAGTACCAGTTTCCACAGAAGATCACATAGGGGGTCAGGCGTTGGTAGTGCATGCCTTTAATCCCAGCACTCGGGAGGCAGAGGCAGGCAGATCTCTGTGAGTTTGAGGCCAGCCTGGTCTCCAGAGCAAGTGCCAGGATAGACTCCAAAGCTACACAGAGAAACCCTGTCTCGAAAAAAAAAAAAAAAAAAGATCACATAGGGATGAGGGCTTTGGTGGGTGTCAGGGAGTAGGTGGAATAGGATTATGAGATATGAATAGGACAGGGTATACCCAATTCATCTCTGGTATCCTCTGGTCTGCTTTGACTTGCAGCATCTACAGTCATGGTATCCCTAAAAACTAACCCTGAAACCAGCTCTGAGTTCTAGGGTGAAGAACAACAACAGCTAGGTCTTTGGCCCTGAAGTATCATTTTAGTTCTCTAAGCCTTGGTTTCTAAGTTCAAAATGGAGAAAATAATTTCTACCTTGCTTACTTCACCAAGCTGCTGTGAGCCTCTAATGAGATAGTAAATATGAAAGCATTGTGAAAAAATAAGCGTGCCACAAATGGGATGCAGCATCGCAGTGCCTTGATTAGTAGTAGTGAGAATAAAGGATCCAGAGGCTAGAAAGAGCCCCATTCACAGCCTGCAAGCTGAAGAAGCCCACTCCATTTATAAAACCTTCCTTTTTATTCCTCCCTGGAGAAAATCCCACAGTGTTCCCTACTTGTGGAACAGTTCCCTGTTTGGAAGAATTACAAGTTTCATTCACTCGGCAAGCAACTCAACCTAACATAAATGCGTCGTGCTACATCTAAGCTCTTTCTACTTGGGTCAGGGAGAACTGCTCACCCCACCCCTAACATTTCTGAATCCGCCCTTTATTTAACTCAGCCATCTTCTGGCTCCGCACTTACTTGCCATGTGCTAGACACTGAACCTCATAGTAGGAGCTCGGGGCTGGAAAAGGAACTCTGATCTTTCTGTTACTCACAATCCATAGCCCCAAAGTTCCCAGGGTGCCAAACATCCCTTCTCCTTAAGAAACATCCCTGTCCTGATAGCTGTTTCTGTGCACATAGCACTGATTAAGCCTTTGTCCTCCTCAGACAGTGCCCTTACAACCCAACTACGAATGCCTTTAAACTTTGCTATGAACAGCCTTTTAAAGCCAAGGCTCCGTTCATTCATTTTCCATGAGGCCTTTGGGGAATCTGGGTGATTCTGCCACTGACGGAGCCAAAGCTAGCAGCCTATTTGAAGAAGACCCCATATCTTGAGGTTCAAAACTAACGTCTGTGATTTCACTCTACTGTCTGTCTCAGAGACAAGAAAGGGGACTGGCTGGTGGCTGGACTACCTCACAAAGAGAGAGTCGCGCTCTGTGTGTAGTGTGGTGTTCTGTTCTCCCCTGATAGCCTTGGATGGTTTCTGTTTGTTTTGTTTTTTGTCTTGGATGTTTCCCCAAGCCCACATGATGACTTCCTGCTTCCTCCCTGGTCTGTGTGTGGTCAGCACTCCTGACAGTGCTCTTCCTTCCCAAATGAGCACTCACATTCTCCTGCCTCATCCATTTCTGTCCCTGCTGCGGGCTTTCAGGTGTGGATGTGGTGAGTTCTAATTTGACTCCACGGATCTCTCCAGAGGGCATCCCAAATTTTGCATGTGACAAGCTAGCTAATCCTCATATCCCTAGTCTCCTGCTCACTTGTTCTCAAAGGGATCCTGATGGCTTCTCCCCACTTCTCAGCAAAGACGCAGCCAGAGAGCCCTCTCACTTAATAAGTTTCTGCAGTGTGCTTATTAGTGCCTTATAATGTAGCCGCCTAAATAATTAAGAGTAACCCACACGTGTCAAATTAAATGAACCAAATACATTGAGAAATTACCTCATCCTCAATTCCTTTTATTAATCAGAGCTTTTTAAAAAATTATTTCCCTGCTCATTTACAAAAATCAAATGTAGTCAGAGAGCCTCTTGCTTATAACTGTATGAGCACTCAGCCTCTCCTCTGCCACTCACTTGGGAGGTTTTCTAGTATTTGACACATAAAATAAGTTAGGTTGCTTTGTAGAGACAGACCCTATGGACAATCAGATACGACAAGTCACTCATACTCCAATCTTCAGAACTGTTCCCACACCTGAGAGTGTGGGAAGCTGCCCAGAAGACAGAGGAAACATTAACCAAATTCTTCCAGCATCTTCTGCCCTCCTTCCTCAATGCACCCTAGAGTCCTTCCTAGGCTCAATCTAGTAGCCGTGCACCCTTTTCCACTGGAAGCCACCACTGATGTGCTTTAGGCAGGTATAAATCAATGACAAATATAGTAGGAACCTTCACCAATTGTATCTTTCTTTTCCTGCCATTCCAATGGCCTGGCTAAGTCTTCCTATTGGAAGCACCTGGACTTTAGATGCACACTCAGGAAAAAAGCTATTGTTGGCTGAACCTAGGAGCTTACTCACACCCTGTACTTCTACTGGACCCCTGTCTGCATGCTACATTCCTGCCTTGGAGGTGGCTATTAGAAGGAATCCACAAATATAGTAAGTAAACATCAAAGGGGCTTTGATCCACATGGCCCTCGACAGAACAGGAGCCCCTGAAGAAAGGGCCAAGGCCTTGGATGGGAGAACTTGACGTGTCAATTTGGGTGCCTGAGATGTGAAGCTGTTTGAAGTGAGGGCGCTTTGGCTGCGCCTTCAGATGAGTGAGCGAGCGTGCCGGGGAAAGGAAGGGAAGTGAGCCTTTGGAAACAGCACCCTCGGATCTGCCTCTCTGCTCTTTACTGATAGTCAATAAATCCCTTTAAAGAATCAGGAGATCAAAGCTGTTGACCTCCCTGGGCTATGACGGCCCACCACCACCTGGCAAGCTTTGTTTTCCCTAGGGCACACGCCCCTAAGCTGGACTTATCTGTTCTCGAGGCCCTGCACTCCTTTCTTTTCTTCCTGTTGTCTTCAGAGGCTGAACCTGAGCAGTAGCAGATGGATGCAGAGCATCCTGAGCAGAGGCAGAAGGAGGAATCACCCCACTCTGCCTATTCTCTAATGGCCAAGACACCTACAGGTGGACGGCCAAAGACACATCCATGCCATGGACAAGTGGGACACCACTCAGTAGGAGCCTCCTTCTCTGAGAACATGGGTGGAAGCAGCCATGTAGCAGGAGTCCTGGCAAGATTCTGTGGGGGTGGAGCTGCAGTCATATGCCCTCTAGAACAATATCAGGTGCGCCCATTTGCCCAGTTTAGGGCAGTTGTCACATTTGTAAGGCTTCTGAACAAAAAGGTAGAGATGATGAGTCAAAAGCATGAAAGGCAATCCCTCAGCATTGTCGAGCCCCGCCCCCATCTGTATCACATGAACAACAATGACCCATCCACATACCGCAAAGCATTGCCGCAGGAGTCAGAAATTAAAGTGGATGTGAAATTGTTTTAGAATTCATAAAGAACCCAAGATAAGTCAGGACTAAAAGCCAGATACCAAAGCGTATGACTTGACTTCTAGTGAGGCAGATGTACTCAAGTCCAACACTAGCATACAATAGAAGCTGGTTTATTAAAATGCTCTCCAAAAGGTAGTGTCTGGCATTTGCTATCCAAAGTTGCTTTTCTTCTTATTCTTCTGGGACTGTCAACAGTACTATGAGTCCTTGTGTCTCAGCATTGCTAAGTCTACACTTATCAAGTTCTAGATGATGTTGCTGTACAGTGCCTGCCCATAGGAATACACAAAAATCAGCAACTGCAGAATCCCACCCTTCCAGAAGGTTGAGCACATTCTGCCTAGCCCTCATCTCTGTGTCTTCTCTACTCTCACTATTCATCTTGATCAATCATTGTGTCTGCTCATGCTGTCCCACTCTGGACACTACCAGGGGCTCTTGTTCAGCTAGCTAGTCTGGCCACAGTCTCAAAGGGACTTGGTCATGATCCCCAATACTAGACTATTAAAACCCACATAACCCAGAGTAATAGTTATGAGAATGGATTCTGTAGCCTAAATTCAAAATCTGGACTCCAGCACCGGCTAAGTCTACTCACCTCATACATCTGTAAATGAAGGTAGAAGAAAATGGAGAGCACAATATTCACGCCTCACCTGATGCTAGAAAGATCCAGCAAGAACTATTGACTTGAGTTATGCCTGGGATGTAAGTGCTGTAGAAATGTTTGCTAAATCAGCAGCCCTGCTTATCCACAGCCCCCGATAGGAAGTCTTTTCACACCTGACCCATTCCCAACTCACCCACCTATGTTTTCTTTCCAGAGCTTGGCCTCCAGAAGAGAGGATGCTGTCTGGTGCTGGGCTACATGGCCAAGGACAAGTTTCGGAGAATGAATGAAGGTTAGTGAGAACCTCCCTTCCCCTCATGGGTAAGACAGTGAGGGGAGAGTATACCTACAACTGTGGTGTAGAGGAACCTGGACAAGGAGCACACGTCAGCTCAGGAAGGAGAGTGGGAGGCTCAGCTTTATCTTATCTTCATGGTGCGCTTGACACAGGGGAGAACAGCTGGTGCCAAAGCATTGGATGCTGGTGCTGGTGCTGGTGCAGTGCTTCTTTTGCTATCTCCTCCCCCCATGTGTCCCTTACCCCCCTCCTGAATTTGCTCTTCTACCCACTTGTCCAGTCCAATAAAATCTGCTCCTGTCATCATTTAATCCAAAGTTCTCCCTCCTCCTCTTAAATCATTTCTACTTCTTGAATTGACAGCACCTTATAGGGCAATCAGGAGAACCCTAAAGATCATGGCAGCATTATACTCCCAGAGCCTGCCCTTAGAGCGCTGCCCACCTTCCCAACTCCACAGACTGAATTCTGTCTCCCACTCTGGCATTGTTCTGCCTTCCTCAAGCCCTGGGCCTTTCCTGAGGATCACCTGTCTCCCAGAGGACTTGGGGGAAGGTATTGACTTTGACATGGGGGCTGGCATGTGAGAACATCACTGTCACTTATGGGTCTGCTGTAATAAAGAGCCAATCCTCTCCATCCCCAGCCATCTGTCTCCACACAGCTAATAACCCTCTTCATCATATGCCACAGACTGTTTGTCAGGGTTCAAAAGCAGATAGACAATGGCTAGGGTGCCGTTTATTCATTAAAATCAGACAAATGGAGCCTTGGCTTCTTCTCTGCTGCCCAGCTTGCCATGAGCTGCCCCCCCAAAAAAATCAGGGCTCATAGCTTCTGTAACTCCCTTCCCACTCCAAGCAAAAGAGAGGCAGAACACCCCTATCTTCTGGCCATGGATTATACTATACACAGCCCTGGATTCAACAGCTGCCTCTCCTCCCAACCCACCATCCATGACACTCATGTATTTGTATGTGGCCCAGACCAGAACCCTAGCTAGCTGTGTACCTGTCACCAAACCCATCAAGATGGCAGTCTGCCAGGAGTTAGGTCAGTATAAGTAAGCCCAGGAAGTTCTTATCTCTTACATTCACTGCCTCCCTGTTCATGAAAACAGCAGCTTCCAGAAGCCTCTTATCATCTGTAGGAGCCCCATGGCTGAGCACAGCCAGGGGTTGGGGCTGCATATTTTGTGGCAAGGCCATCAGTCTTTTTTCATTGACTTTTTTCTTGCTCATCACCCTCTCGGTTCTCAACACTGTGGTCCAGAAGAGAGTGGGAGACAGTAACTTCTAATTTGTGGGAACTGACAGCATGACTCTGTCCGTGGTGCTGAATAGACATGTTCTCTTCCTGGGGATGCTCATTACAGAAACAAAGGATGGGCGCTTAGGGATTGGGATAGAGATAAAGAAAGGAAACTGGGCTGCATTTGAATCTTGAAGCTCCAGGTATCTGACCCCAGCTTCTAAGTGGCCAAGAAAATGAAGGCAGGGTTGTTGAGCAAGCCGAGCCAAGATGTGTGATGAGTTACAAGTCTCAACTAACAAAATGGAAACAAGCTAGAGGAAGCCCACACAGTGTAGTAGGACAAGTCACGTGCAGTGTATTAGTTCTTCTGGAAGGGTCCAAGTCACCATGGGAAGCAGGGAGACGTACCTGCTTCCAGGTCAGACAGCCTTGCTTTGCCAAGTGCCAGACAGCACATTTTCTCTCTTCTAAAGTTCATGTGCTGTTTAAGAAAGCAAAAGAGAGGTATGTTCTGCTTGGGTCTCATAAAACCCCAACCCATTTGCAGATAAGAAAGGCATCTGCAAACACAGGGACTGTTTATGGTTTATAATTATCTCATAGCAATACTCAAAATAATTATAACTTCTACATGTTAATAATTAAACAGGAATAACAGCCATGACATCAGTCAAGCAACAGAATTCTTGGCTCATGCCAGACAACATACCTTGGTTTGATTTGAACAATTGATAAAATAGTCAAAAATAATTATTATTTTTCTCCAAGTGACCAGAATTCATGAGCTATTGGGACAATTAGCTGCTTCTTCCATTAGAGATAAAATGGGATTGCTTTATTTCCATTTCAGAATAAATATAAAAGCTTTGCTTGTGCTGTATTAAAACATATTTGTTTTGTTTAACAGCATCTAATAAGGTGTCTGTCACCCAGGGAGAAGTGATCCCCTATTTCATTTGTTTCCTTGTTAATTTCATATCTCCTTTTATTTTATTTTCTCTCCACCACCACCCCCTCCTCCTCACTACATTCCAAAAAATAACAAATATTTGAGAAGGAGCAAGAGAAAAATAATGAATGAACAAGAGCTTTAGAGATCTGGGGCTTGTCGTAAGTTAGAGTAATCACGATTGGTGCTGTTAAGCTATACAAAGCAATAAAAAGAAAATGCTATTCAAAGATCATTTAAGGAAGCATGTGATAGTCAATGAGAGAGTTGCTCTATTTGGGAGCACTTAATAGCTTCTTGGAGAAAATCTGTAGCATTTGCAGCAAAGTGGGGTAGTAAATGTTGGGGGAGAAAGTTCTTCCCTGTTTGGACTCAACAGTCTGGGGATCCAATAGGGCTGTAGGCAAAAATAAGCTAAGGGCAGACAAGCATGGAGGGGATAAAGACGGGCTGGGCCCAGAATGTCAGAGTTTCCTGGTGTTTTTGTCTTCCAGTGATTAAGAACTTGATGCTTTAAAGAAACTGTTGGAAGGAGGTTGTTTATTTATTCATCAAACATTCATTGAAAACCATAAAAATGATACCAGTTTTTCAAAATAAGTGTCAGGCTCCATTGTGAGCACTGGAGCTGTTAAAGTGAATAAGGCATAGTCCCTGCCCACAAGGACCTCGCAGTAAAATCACAAGGCATGTCTCACTAAAAAAAACATGTCAACAAAAAGCACCTGCTCACACCTCACCTAAATCAGAGCCCCCTTCCCTCGGCGTACGCTCCACCTGGTCAACCAGTCTGTTTTCTTCTCAGTGTGTATCACAATTTGTAATGGTGCATCAGCTTCCTACTTGTGTACTGTGGGCTCCACCTGTTGGAGAGGGAAGATCTCACTTCCTCTTTTCATATCCTTGGAATGTGAAAAGGGGAGAGTCACTTGTGGTAAATTACCTAGGTAAATGTTTAATAGAGGCTGTGAGCTACAAAAAAAGGATATCCAAAGTCACTTGCAGGTACTTGCAGGTCACTGGCCCCATACTGGAGTGGGACTGCACTGGTATGCTTCCTGCACAGAGGTATCCCCTTGAGCTGAGGAGAGGGGCAGATGACAAACTCCCAGGATGTTCAGAATCCCAGGTATGACTGCTTCTCACCACTCAGTGAAGGGAAATCAACAAGGCTAACCTCCCAGCGCTGTCTCATCTTCGCAGAGCCACTCAGTGATCAGCACAGCACCTGAGGCTGACAGAAGACTCTAGTCTCCTGGATCACCCAGAAAAGAAGCCAGATACCTGGCTGCTGAGGCAGCTCATAGTTCCTGGGGCCACGACTGTGCTAGTTCTGGTTCTATGGACAAGTGTGTGCTCACTATAGCCCCAGTCCTCACCTCTCAGCCCTATGCAGGAGACCAGGCTATAGGGGCTGGGAACAAGGAGTCTTCTAAGCCCTGAAGTTCTTTGTGATGGATGGGAGCCTGTTCTCTCTTTCTGTAATGATAAAGAACAACACTGATCTACTATCTCCTAACAGAGATTTAAAAAAAAAAAGCTTCCCCATAGTTAGAGCAAGTATGTGGACCCAGTTATGGGAGCTTGTCCTGTCCTGGCAAGACCCTGGACATCTAGAATTCAGCCCTCTCCAGCACAGAACTGAATAATTTTGATAAGGTCACCTGTAAGACTCTATCTATCAGTTTGTATTTCCGTTGCTATGACAAAACACTAAACAAAAACGACTTGGAGAGGAAAAGGTTTATTTGCCTGACAATTTAGGGAAGTCAGGGCAGGAGCTCAAGGAAGGAACCTGGAGGCAGGACCATCAAAGAGGAGTGCTACTTGCTGCCTCGTCCCTTGTGGCTTATTCAGCCTGTTTCCCTGTGTATAAGAAAACCCTAATACCACCTGCCCAAGGGTGGCACTATCCATAGTGAATGGACCATACCACATCAATCATTAATCACAAAAATGTCCCCATGGACTTGCCTACAGGCCAAACTGATGGAGGCAATACTTCATTTGAAGTTTCACCTTCCTGGGTGAACCTATCACATGTCAAGTGGACAAACACTAACCAACAAAGGCTCTAAATTGTGATGATGCAAACTCTAATCTGCCTCTCAACCCACTGCCCACACCCTGTTCTTTACCCATCCCATAATGTTGCATGCTTTGGTAACCAAAGAACCTCTGATTACCAAAGGGCCCTGTTTTAAGTTGAGTGGTTTTGCCAACTGTTCCCAAAGTACTTCGGAGTTTCTTTCTCCTGCCTCTCCTTGCAGAGATCGAGGTCCTGGTTGACTTTGATGCTGCCCAACCTGCAAACAAACTATACTTCTATCAGTGCAAAGGGTAAGCAGGAGTAGGTAGCCTGGGACTTCTGCCCAGAGCCCAGAACCTAGGAAGGGCAAACCCCATTTGTATGGGCAGCTTTTGCCAGGAGGCTCCTTGGGGCCAGTTTGGCTCATGCAGAGGGCATACAATCATTTTCCTGAGAGCATTCCTGAGGTGCCTGCCACAGTCCCCAGGATATTGCTTAATACTGTCATTTTGTTAGTTGGAGCTTTGGGGCGCATATTTTTTTCTTATTTCATTTTTCTTGATGATGTGTTTTCCTCCACTGGGGCTACAAAGCTGGTTATTTGTATAGCGTCCCTGTTTATTATTTATGGCAAGACCCAGGCTTCCAGGGCACTTTATGATTGTTATTTAATTCACTCAGCATCTTGGAACAAGAGACCAGCTATTTCCATTCTCCTGCCACAATCTGATGGAAGATTCTAGAGCTTTGTCCCAGGCTGAT